GGGAACTATTAGCCAAGTGTAAAAAGTGAGCTAGAAAATAGCAGAAGAGGACAACAGGAAGTTGTCTGGCATAATGCCAGCACCTTCTCCACCAATTCAGAGACAAGAAAGCCCATGAAAGATGCCAAAAAAGAACTAGAAATCTCTTGCATTTTTAGTCATTCTGAGCACTTTACAATATGCTTTCACATTCTAGTTCACAACTCTGAGAGGCGGACAAAAGAGAAGTTAGGAGACCACCTGTTGGGTTTATTAAGGGAAGAACACAGCTATAAAAACAGGAAACTTAAAAGTCTCACAAAATATCATCAGTGTTGGAAGGATAACCAGAGCTCCTTGTTATCTTTTATTTTTAATATTTTCTAACTTTTTTTTTTTTTTTACTATGAACATATGCTATTTTATAGTTAGGGGAGAAAGACATGCTGTTTTTAAAGAGAGGTGGAAGAGAAGTTGGCTAATACAGATGGAGTCCCTGCTCAGAGTGCAGCTAGACCTGAACTTCATCAGACGGTTGAGAAATGACTAGATTCCACAACCACCATGGGGATGTCCTTGCAAGGAGATATTCCAAGGCAGCTTATCTTTCCATGCGCTTTGAAGTCAGATAGACCTTCAAATCCTCTCTTTGCTACTTCTTTGCAATGTGATCTTAAGATTCTTAATCTTTACTTGCATCAGTTTCCAATATGTAAATTTGAAACACAGAGATTATCTGCCTCTATGGGTTTTACTAAGCACTAAATAAGATTTGAAAGGTACCTGGTACATAGTAAAAAAGGCAAGTATTTATCAACATTTGCAAGCTCACTCACAGCCTGAAAATACACTTCTTCTTCTCCAGGAGGGCACATCCAATGGAGAGCAAATAGCTACTGTCTTCAAAAAATAAAATAAAATAAAATAAAACAAAACAAAATAAAATTTCAGACTCAGCAGAGCAGCTCATATTAAAGCTTCATCTAGTTATTCTTAATCATTAATTAATCAATCAACTGGTCAAAATCACGGAAGGAATACTTACCACCTAAGGAATTCACGTATCAATATTTCCACTAAGTACTATGTTTCTTAAAGACAGAACTATTTATAAATAGTGCATTCTTCAGCTTCTTCAATTTAAAGTTACAGTCACTAAAAAATGAAACAGATGGAGGCAAAATGCCCCACCACTTCAAACACACACAACTTGGAAAAGGCAACCCATGAGCTGAAAAAAATATGCCAATCTCCTTGAGTTTTAATAAGCAGGAAGCTGTTAGGCAATGGCGATCTCAATTCTAAAAATGTGTTTTCTGGATATGAAGGAAAGAGGTCCCTAGATATGCTGAGGAAGCAAATAATAGAACCCAAATAAGCAGTGAAGTTTCTGATTTTGTCATCTCCGTGTTCTGAGCACTTTAGGAGAGTACCAGGTATGTAGTAAGGGTACAATACAAAAGTCACATTGTTCTGACTGAGAAACTTTCTTTGACCTATGATGGTCACACATTACATGGGCTGAAAACTTTGAAATTCTATTCTTCTTTTCCTCTTATTTATTCATTCGGCAGCACTTACTAGAGCACCTACTATGTAGTGGACACATTTGGGCTGGTCACTGACAATGTAGTGATAAAAAGAAAGCTATGATTTCTGGCCACATGGAGACTACTTTCTATTTGGGGAGAAAGCCAGTTAAACATAAAAAGACTATAAAGTGTGCTAAGTTCTATATTAAGGGATATATGGTGACTAAGAGAACACAGAGCCTAAGAATTTTCTTCACAGTACCCTGTACATTTCTTTGTTTTCACTGGGTGCTACTCCACTGGGAATGAATTAGCACTGTTCTCTCAAGGAGCTTAAAACAGAGATCACTGTGTTTGAAACCCATTATCTATCATTATACAAAGAGTTCTTCCTAAATGTTATTCTCCTTTAGCATACTGACATAGGTTATGCTGTGTCTGACACAGAATCTAAATTCCACAAAAGCAGAGCTTTATTTTATTCAATGAGGTGCCCTAAATGGCAAAGACTGAGCCTAGCACGCAATAGTTGCTCCACAATTTTTTGTTGAATAACTAGATGAAACTACAGATCAGAAAGCCAAAGTTTAGAGAGTTGAGTTGCTTTTCTAAGATCACATCACAAGCAGTTGCTAACTCTTACCCTAAGTCTACTAAGTTTAATTGCTACAGATGGAACTTTTGTATTCCATAATTTAAAGATGCAAGATCAGACACTCCCGTGTTCCACTCCTGGGTAGTGCAAAGGGAAAAAGGACTGGGTCACATTGCTATACTCCTTTCCAGCCTGTTCTCCATAGCTCCTTTGGAAGGTGTGGCCCTACATCTGGGGAAGGGTTATTTCTAACCTAGGACATTTCGTTGCATGTGTTTTCCCTCACAGCTCTGGGAAAGGGCTCAGATCTGGAAAAAGCCATCGCTACTGCTGCTCTGATTTTCCGAAATTCTTCTGACCCTGATGGTAAACTTGGAAAAGCTACTGCCAAAAATCTGCTGCAAACCCAATTTAGGAATTTCACAGAGGTAAGAGAGTTAACATGCATGGAGAAATAGGGGTCATACCATAATATCTGGCCCAAAGACCAACAACTCTAGCTCAAAGCCTCTATCATGTTGTTTCATTCAGCAAATATTTATTGAGCATCTACTGAATATGAGGCAATAAGCTAGGTACTGAGGTTAAAACAATGAACAAGCTAAAAATTCGACAGAGTAAAAAAGAAGCTAAAAAAAACCATTAGAAATATTCAAAAGGTGTGAAAGAGTAAGAATACAATGAGAGACAAAAACAAAGAGACCATCTTGGGGTGGGTGGTAAAAGAAGGGCTCCTGGAAAATTAAGGTATAGCTAAGATCTGGAGAATTAATAGGAGTTAGCAAGGCAAGGGCAATGAGAATGATAGCCTTCCAAGCAGAGGGAACATCCTATGCAAAGGCCCTAAGGCAGGTCAAAGTCCTAGAAGGTCAGTAAGCAGTTGGTGAGAAGCAGGGGTAGGAAGTAGGCCCTGATGGGAGAAGAAGCAAAGGAGTTTGAGAGAAGCCAAAACTTTCAGAGGCACACCCTAGGGGAAGGAGGAAGCCAAGAATAGTTTCTAAGTCCAGGTGTAAAGAAATTATACCAGCTGCAGCACAGAGAACAGATTGGGGTGGAGGTGGCGGCGGGACAAGTAAGGGAATAACTTCGGGAAGCCATCCAAAGATGATGATGGCTGGGACTGGAGTAGTGAAAATGGAGTGAAACAGACAAATGACAGAGATATTTACAAGGCAGAATGAATGGGGCCTGAAAACCAGTTGAACATGAGAGTTGAAGGAGAAAGGGGACTAAATAATGACACCCCCACTTCTGATTTATGGAAGGAATGGGTGGTGGTCCCATTCTCAGAGAAAAGAAAGACTGGGAAACAAACAGATCTGAGGGGGTGTGGAAATGAAGAGGTGTGAGTTTTCTTAGAATGTGTCAATTTTAAGATGTCCATGAAACATTCAAATGGAGAAACTCAGCAACAAGATATGTGACTTAAGAAGGCAAAATGGAGATCTGTGCTTGAAATATAGAAATAAGAGTTAGCAAAGACCGGCAGATGGCATGGTGGTTAAGGCGCTGGGCTCCCACATGGCTGACCATTGTTCGAGTCCTAGCCCTGGTGGCCTGCTTTCTCACTTTCCCCTCTTTCTTTCTCTCCCCCTCTTTCACTCTGGTCAAAATTAAAATAAATAAAGTTAAATAAAATAATTATTTGAAAAAAAAAGAGTTAGCAACATATAAATACCACTGACCTAAAGGGTACGTATACACACATACGTACGTATGGTTCTGTGTACTACACTAATATAGACATCATTCACTGGGGGAAGATGGGTCACGGGTACAACTTCCAGTAATTCTACAATTATTTCAGAAGAGTGTGTGTGTGAGAAAGGGAGAGAGTATGGTATAATTCACAGAAAAATTACTGGAAAGAAATATTAGTAGTAATTAGGCATCTTTGGGTAATGGGGTAAAGAGCCATGTTTATATTCTTCTTCTTAAGCATTTTTCCCCTAAACTTTATTAAATGTGTGTTATTTTTAAAATAAAATATTTTTAAAGAAAATCTGTCCTTCAGGCCGAATAGGCAAAATTAGTAACAGAGAAAAGGTGTGGAAAGTCTTTTTAACAAGGCAGATGGAACCAGCAGTTGGTGTAATGGCTGTCGCTGGACTCCCATGTAGTCGACCGTGGTTGGAGTCCCAGATCCAGTGGCTTAAACTCAGGCCAGGCATGTGTGCATATGTGCCCAAGATCCCAAGAAGAGAATGGAGGAGAAGGGACTGCAGCATGGACAGCCTCCTGGGGGGCAATTTCTTGCTCTCTGTCTCTCTGTATATCTGTCTTTCTGGTGAGCACATGTGCCCTATAACAAAAACCTCTCCAAATAAATAAATTTTTAAAAAGGCATACGAATCAATCCTATGCCATCTCCTGTGTCACAGGCCAAAAACAATGGCATATTTCAGAGAGAAGGGGCTTCTGGAGGTATGGGGCCTTTTTTTACCTGAAAAATCCCAAGTGAACTTTTAGCAAGTATGAAAATGAGGGCCTCATGAATGCATCATCTGGATCTACGTTATCACCTCTGAGAGAACACCAGAGGAAAAACATTAAAACCAAGTCATTGGGAAAGATGCTTTCAGTCTCTATCCCTCAGTCCATACTAAACCAGAGAAAGGCAGCCAACTTCTGGATCTCTCTAGTAGCAGACACATCCAAGCTTCAATATAATCCTACTCACAGCTCAAAGTAGGCATCAGGAAGCACGACCATATCTCAAGCAACTCAAGGGGACAGCTCACCCTAGGACATTCTCAGATCAATGGTGATAGCTGAACTTCACTTGGCAAACATGCAGAGTGATGTCAGAATACAGCTTTGGCCCAACACCGCTCTCTGTGAGGTGTTTTGGGGCAAGTACATACATGTGGGTCAGTGGCAAGAGGATCACAGCCCACTTACTTCCTCACGGGGCTTTCTCCCAAACCTGCAAGTGCAGTTTTTAGGTAAACTGAGCTGGACCTTTAGGCTGATGCCTGAGCTTTAAGGGGGAACATCTATCTCCTCTCCTATAAATCTAAACATTATTTTTGGTATTTTAATACTCTATCACCAGTTAGATATAATAAAACTAGCACCTTAAGGCATTGCTAAGAACATTTAAAAACAGATAGCTGGTCCTCCTCTCGAGAAGAGGAGTAACTCAAGTAACTTGGCCCATGGTAGGTATATTTTGGTATGAAACCATGATTTATAGTCTCATCAACCCGATTTTGGAGCCCATACCCTCTTTTTTTTTTTTTTTTTTTTAAGTTTTTTT